GAATGTTGATACATAGTGACCTAGCAGACACCTAAAGAAAAATAATTAATTTGCTTTCTTCTATTCATTATCCCTTTTAATGTCTTGTTAAAATACATGTCAATACATCTCTCGTATGTAACTTCATTATCCATAGATGAGGGTCTGAGGATAGCATTTATTTGGTGTTATCATTAAAGTTGAATTATATTTCAGATGAGGTTACAGAATTTGAGGGAATTCATGAAGTTATCTAATATGGGATTGAAATTAAACTATTGTAATTTAAAGAAGTTATTTAATACTTTTGGCAACTCTTTCACTATAAAACAGCTGAGAATAGTTTTTACGTACGCGACAATGACAAGCATAAAATATAAAATATAAAATATAAAAATGACAAAAACTTATTGTAATGTGCCATAGTTATATTTGAGAAGACCCCACTGTGGCTAATTAGCAACAGATTTCAAATTTCCGTCACGAAAACATAGCAAAGCTCTTTTCCTTGTAGTGATCAATGAGCAAATGTGATCCTAACTAAGTACAGGACATTAATACGAAATAAATAAGGTCATTAACCTTTGGGGACTCTAAATGAGCATGCTTTTCCATGCTTTATGGTCTATATTAGGTCAGCCCACTAAGAGCTAAGAATAACATCACTTTGTATCAAGAACCATCTGTCTGGTTTGATTTTCTTGAATTGAATACTAAATGCTAACTTTGAAGGTAGAAGGTGCCAATTTTTGCATCATTTCTTTTCCATTTAAGGTGGTTAAAAGAGTGATGAAATAGTCGATTTTAATTTTATTGTGAAAAAAAAAAAGAAAAAAAAATTACAAGATGAGATACTGGATACAATAGTACACGAAAGTTTACACAGATTAGCACGAGAATTGATTTCGAAAATATTCTATTGAAAAATCTAATTCCTAGAACAGTAATGATAACTTATGATTTCCAGTTCTCACTAATGTTCTGTTAATATCAATTTTGCATCAGAATCTATCTCTAGTTAATTAAGTTTGTTTAAAGTAATTAAAGCAACTCCATTCAAGAATATTAATTTGTTAAACTCAGAATATCTCACCTTTTCCCTTGTCCTCTGAATGGATTTAAAAAGTTGGCATTTTGAATGTTTCTCATTTAATTATTTCTTATTAGGCTTATTTGAAAAAGACAACAGAATCCAGTTCATATTGCTTACACAAATATCTTTTCGACCAGCATGTTGGTGCCGTCATTACCTTTCTATCATCAATTATGCTACATAAACAAGATCAAGAACAGGCTAAAAAATAGGAAACACATGTCGGCACGGGATTGGACAGTTTGAAAAAACAAACAAACATCCAACCGAGTGCTTTCAAGTCAGTTTGTCCAGTGACGAATCCAGGATGTTGAGTCAGCACGGTCGGTCATTGACCGTGGACTGCAATAAAATATTAAGAGCTTGTTTGATGTCTTTTTTTGCAAAAAAATGCATTTTAGAATAGTGATTTGATGGAGAATTTGTAGTTAATAATAAGAAAAAGTTTTGAATTTGTATGAAATATTATTTTATTAGAAAATAAAAGAAAGAAAAAGTTATTCTAATATAAATGGGAATCAAACAAAGCTTAAAATTTAAATAAAACAATTATTTTGTTGAAGCTGATTATATATAATTATGTTATAAAAATAAATTGTACTCACCAAATGATATTGTTGCTTTGTATAATTCAAAGGAAGAGCACGGGTTTGAAATTCGAATTTTCACAATTGCATTAAAACTACTAAAATCTAATATATATTATTTTGTTAAGTTTAGTATGACAACAACTCAACAAGTGTCCTAGTGGTTAAGATTTCAATATTTCTAATGAAAGCTCCGAGGTTCAAATCCTCTGTTGTGCCTTCCTTATATTATAACAATTTTGCTAACTAAAAATGTTGGTAGAATAAGTAGGTTGAAAAAAGTTTCGAACCTGGACTTCAAAAATAGAGGTGCAAGCACCTACCAACTTGGCTAGAAGAAATGATTGTAATGAAGTTGACTTACCAGTAATATATCCTTAAACTCCCAAAAAAAAAAAAAAAAAAAAAAAAAAAAACCCAAAAAAAAAAAAGAAAAGAAAAAAGCCTCTCGGCGCCAGCGGATCCGGCACACGCGACCGCAGGTACTCGCCAGGTGTTGGATCCGCCACTGAGTTTGTCCATCTTTTGTCTGTCCGTGAATCTATTCAACCATCATTATTCTTCTATTATAAGCAAGTTTCTAATATAATAAAACCTTAAACATTAGCTATCACATTACTCATCACTCCACCACTTGTGAACTTCTTTGGCTTCAATTGCTTCTTCAGGACCACTTGTTCTGATGCTACATATTGATCGTTTTGAAGTCCAAGAAGAATAATGTTATTCATAGTGATTACTACTTGTAATCATTTTGCGTGACATATACATGATAATTTGTTATTTGACAGATGAGACAATGAAAAAACTTTTACTTGTCTAGAAAGTTATACTTTTACTTTATGCTCGAGACATTTTAAATAAATATTTTGAAAATCTTCAATTCAAATAAATTTCGTTTTGATAATTTGATAAATGAGAGATAAAAAAAAGTGTTGTAGATGAAAATCACCTTGAGCAAATCAAGATATTAGAGATTCTCCAATGCAATTACGAATTGCTAAAAAAATTGTACCACATAAATAGAAATAGAAGATGGATAATAAATTCCTCTCCAATGCATATTGAATGAGACTCGGCCAAGTTGATGTAGGAATGAAAATAAGTCAATGTCTAGAGGTTCTTATAGATTAGAGATTATTTTAGACAGAGTAAATCCGCAAATTTAAACTTCCTCTTTCCTTTTTCTTATTTTCTCTCTTTTCTGTTATTTTTCTTTCCTATTAAATAAATTTAAGTGGAAATCACTTCAGGTGAAATTTGAAATTGACAATCTATTTATTAGATATCAATACTATATGACTTTCATTTATCTGTCACATAGACTGTGATCCATGGAATGCGTTAGAAAAGCTCAAGAATTTCAGAGTAAAACTACAACATGATGGTTAATTTGTATCATACAAGATAGTTTTTGTTTTTTTTGTTTTTTCATAAATCCTACAATCGTACAAGATTGTTGGCAAGTAATAATGTGATAAAAGAGCAGAGTCCTACGAAGAATAAACTTTAAATTGAATTGTATCAACTTGTTATCAAATTCGAATTTAATCATGACAAAAGATATTTATTGTATTATATCTAAATTAATCTATTAATTAACTAAACTGATTTTTAAACTAAAGTATGAGATGTATGTGTTAGAATTTCGAATCCATCTATTGGTATCATATTTTCAATTCTCGACCTATGTAATTTAGTGTGATTCGTTTATTCATGACAATCAATAATTTGATCTTGTTTAAGCATTTCTTACAAGGTAAGTAAAACTAAGCATGACTCGATCATATTCCTATTCTGAATTCATATGCAAAATAATGCATTCAATTACATGATTATCTATACGATTGCAAAAGTCATATATGTTATTCCTAACATCTATTTCCCATTTGTTAAAATTACAAAGTTCTAAATGTACTGTGAATCGTCCACCACTACAACAAGGAACTAATTACCTAGTTTATGATCAAGCAATTAAATAATTCAACAAAGAATACAATATCAATTAAGAGCATAAATTGACAAAACTACTTGGTCTTTAAATTTATAATAATCAAGTAATAAAGTTCATATTCATCCAACATAAAGGAAATCTAGCCTAACATGATTCTAATAATAAAATAACGAGAAGAATATAAAAAACCGTTATAGATATAATAATTTATTTTATATTAAAAAATAATTTATGTATCAATATAATAATTTATGTTATATTAAAAAAAATTATAAAAACATAATGGACATCGCTATTGTAGTTTATCATTTAACATTTTTGTTCAATGATATATTTTTCCATTATACGTATCATTCCATCCAGTAATCACTCCTAAATGCTGATGCAACAATAGAAAGGGATTATGCGCAAATATTTTCAAATGACATGAGTATTACTTTGAACAAATTCAGGAATGGAAAACGCACAATTATATTCATAACTAAGGTGAAAAAAAATGTATTGTATCCAATTCTGGAATTCTACTTTAATGTGCACAGAAAACTAATCTAGGCAATGAATTAGTGCCAACTAAACAAAAAAGTCAAAAAATAGTCACACAATCAAAATAATACATACATATTGAACTTTGATTTTTCTCCAAAAATCCAAAAAAAAAAAAATGTGCCTGTAGTCCAAAAATCCTGATTCTCGTGCATTAAGGTCATCTCTAGTGCTACACCAAAATTTGCATAATTTTACATCGAATCTTGCACCAAACCAAAATTCATCTCCAACTATTACACGAAATGAATAGTGTTTAA